TTCTGCATGGTGGCCGAAAACTTTAAGGCCGCCTCTAGTGGATGTTTAAAGCAAGTAGGTACTAAACGACTTTTTCGGAGTTAAGAAACAAAGACAATACAATTATTCACGAGTAGACAAGAAAAACAAGAAGAAAGTATATAACGGGAAATATGCGGCGGTTACAGTTCCAAGCGTAATAATGTATCCATCCCAGCCTGGAGCAGGAGAAAAAGCAGAGTGCCTAGGAGAAAGGGAGATGTCGCTATAAAAGGTGTATAGCTCCATCCCTCTTTCGCGCCCGAAAGAATCACGCTTTAACACGTCATGGTAGGCCCACAGGGTGGTCTCTAGTAAGTAAGAGTCTGACACTACCTCTCTCCCCACCCTGGGCAGAAAGTCATTCAAGGTACATTTGTACCTACATATACATTCATGTCACAACATCATCATCATCAGCATATAAGTTCCCACTGCTGAGCAAAGGCCTCTTCTCACACGGAGACGGTAAGAGCATTAATCACCACGCTTGCTCAATGCGGGTTGACGATTTCAAACATATAATTAGAAATTATAAGTCCAGGTTTCCTCACGATGTTTTCCTTCACCGTATGCCATTGGTTTCTAAATAATCATAGAAAGTACCTACATATAACTAGGAAAAAGTCACATTGGTACTTGCCAGGTTTCGAACCTACACCCTCATGCATGAGAAGCGGGCCCCTTAACCTCTGGGCCACCACGACATTACACAATATAATTATATTGTCACAACAGCCACAATCAAATATTCTCCTATCGAATACAGTTCAATGAATTGTAAAGTAAGTAAGTAGGTATATATAAATGATTGGTTTACGTAGTACATATTCGTAAATATCCGGGAAACGTGACGTCAGAACCTAAATCTAGTGTTTAATGTTAGTGCTTTCGTTTGGTTACTAACACTACGATTTATGGCTTTGTTAGTTTATCTACGTAGACGTCAACAGATGCCGAGGCAGGCCTAGAAGGAGATAGTGAGACGAACTTGACATCTTCCACAAGACTTCTTTTACTTTAGATACTGGTACACAGGAGTTGTGGTTCTGGGAGGTTGTGGCGGACTTATCGCAACATAAATTCTAAATGTGAGAGAGCCAAGCTTCGGCACGAATGGGTCGGCTCGACCGGAGTGATACCACGGCCTCACAGAATACCGGCGTGAAACAACCCGGCGTTGTGTTTCGCCGTGTGAGTGAGGTTACCAGAGGCCCAATACCTCCCCTTCCCCTATCCCTTCCCGATCCTTTTATCCGCAACCCATATCCCCAAAAGGCCAGCAACGCACTCGTAACTCATTTGGTGTTGCAGGTGACCATGGGCGGCGCCGATTGCTTACCATCAGGTAATCCGTCCGCTCGTTTGCAGACTTATACCATAAAAAAATCGTCTTATCGGTCTTTTAGGGATTAGAGATGATAAGACTTGACTTGACAATGTAAGCGTTAATTCACGACGGTTTTCTGTGAGGCCGTGGTATCATACAGGTCAGGCCGGCTCATTCGTGCCGAAGCATAGCTCTTAACGCTGGTATGATTAAGTTCTAATGAAACTAAATGTCACGGTCATAAGATACAATATAATGCACCTGATTCATAACAAGAGGGTGAGGGAGTTACTCCTCCCACCCCCTTAAAAGGAGGAAGGGGGGCGAAACACCACCCTCTATATGACTAGGCCTCCTAAAGGTTAGATTTGATGATAAAAAACATTACTCATTTTGTATATAACGCGAAAAATGTTAGGAAACTAATTTGTTTTGTTAAAATCAATTCTAAGTCAAAAAGTTAAGGCTCATTATAAATTGTGCATTTGAACCTAAATACCTCAAAATATAATACTATAATTAACCATTCAAATGTAAAACAGACTCTAAATCCAAGTGATAATGGTGATTATTGAACTGAGCAATGTTTTACAAAATATATAAAGACAGTAAAATCAGCTCTATGAGGTTGTTATTAAGATTATTTTTGTAGTCAATTTGTTTATCCTCAAAACTATGACAAACTTAGTTTTGACGTCGTTATTACGAACGTATTTTTATTTTAACTTTATGCAACAAAACATTACAAAGGCGGACTAACCCCCGGTTTCCGAAAGGCCGATCAATGTTAAAATCAATTTAATCACTTGTCAAGTCATCTGATTGGTTGACTGAATTATCAACGACCAATCAGATGATTTGACAAGAGATTTAACAGGGGATTAGTTAATTTTAGCGTTGACAAGCCTTTCAGAAACCGGGTGTTAATGTCGTAGGCATTCTCACCAGTCAACCTTAGGGTGATGCGGAGAGAGTATGAGGTTTCATCACCATTATAAAGGCTCAAGATGTCCACTGCTGAACATAATAGTACTAAGCACTGTCAAGTTAGAAAGTTAATCAATATTATAAATGAATAATCTGTAATTCCCAAGTAATCTACCTATAATATAAAAATCAATCGCAGAATGTGTTGGGAAGTACATAACTCAAAAACGCTTGGACCAATTTTCCCAACTCTTTTTTTTTTTTGATATATTTGTTGTTTGATATATTTGATATTTTTGATATGTCTGTTATATTTTTTTTATGTGATAGGTCTGCAAATGACAAAACGGATTACCGAAAGCTTAAATTAAAAAAATATTTAATTAAAAAAAATGGAACTGATTTCATTAATTCCTTCTGTTTTGCTCAGTCCATTTATTGAGGATAGTTATAAGCTATAAAACATAATGCTGCAACTAACTGAAGAGGAACCTCTGGTAAAACAGAAATAAACGTTATGGGCTACCTGATGGCAGGCAATCATTGTATCCATAGAACACCATTAAAATAGGAAATATCATTATAACATTCACCTCATAAACTAATAATTTCACTAAATAAAAACATACCGTTATCAATATGCCACCTATTTGTGGACAAAAACTAATTATTTCATAGTTACAATGACCTTCGGCTACGGGACCATGAATACTTGTTCAGATTACGTACAAATTAATTTTAATTAACACCGTTAATATGGTTAACAACTAACACTGATAATTTAAATCACATGATTTTAGCATACACATAGTTTTATTAGGACAAACTGTAACGAACTATGTAATAAATTCTAAGAATCTGGATAATGTGTCAGAGTTTCTTTCCCACACTTCTTGATTCAAATCTAGACTTTGGTGCAAGCACGTAGCTCATCTGATAAACAGACTGACGGACTATTTATTTGGACATTTAAAAAGTCCCTACCTATGTAATTATGCTATAGATGTTATGCACATTTTTATTGTTGTATATCATTTTAAAGCTTGGCATGTCTTTGTTTTGTCTATACTAATATTATAAAGAGGTAAAATTTGTAAGTTTGTATGTAGGGGTAATCTTTGGAACCGCTGGTCGGATTTCCAAATTTCTTTCACTGATAGATAGCTACAATATTACCCAGTGCTATAGGCTATAAAACATCACACTAATTTTAAATGGAGCCGAGCAGCGGGTGAGACCGCGCGAGAGTAGCTAGTATGATAAATATTGTGAAATGTATCAAAATGAAAAAAAAAAACGTGAATGAAGGAAAAACAATTGATTTTACTGAGAAACCCTCTACTAGTTTAGTGTCACAATGGACACATTTATCAAGAGTAGTGTGCGCATTGTGACATAGCCTAAATCAGTAATCTTTTCTTAGATGAGTCACATGAGTAAGTAATTATTTTTAATAAATTGGCATATTATGTTGATTAAATGACTATAATGCCAGAATATAGTGCTAGGGGTCTGAAGATGGAATTGGAAGCTAGATGATGGAAGGTTGGTCTGTCTACTAGTAAACCTATAGTTTGAGCTCTGGAGACATGTTTATCTGATGTAAGTGAATTATATTAAATAAATCTTTCAAAGGCCGTACAATACACTTGTCTCTGCTACGCTTCCTAAAGTATTGCTAGGGCTGATAAAGGAGTTTCACAACTTTTAATAATCAGGGAGTACCTTCAGCTTAAACACTATTATAACTTTATTAACTAAAAATGGGTTACTCACATGTATATATTGAGAAAAGCTCTACTAGTTACGATAGTTATTATAAAAACACTATCATAACTTTATTTCTTTTATATTTTGAGATAGTATTGTGTTTTGCTAAATCATTTTGTTAAATTATGAACTAGGTAATTTTTAAGGAGAATAATTATGATGCTGTCGCGTCAGAATGTATGTATAAGACAGTGACAGCAACTCCGCCCCTAAGACGACCCACTGACCAAAATTTTATTCGTTGGATAACATATATCTTACATTGAAAAATCAGTCCTTTAAAGATGTAATTTTAAACAGAGATCAAAAACTATACATATTCAAAAGTAAGAAACTTTTTTGTAGTCTGTTCAGTGTAATAGTTTTTACTATACTTATTGAGGTAGGTAGACCAAGTGGGTACCTAAGTTTATTTTGCAAAAATAGTTATTATTATCAAATTAAATGATGTTTCCTACATTTTATTGGAATTACACATACTTACAATATTTATATTTTTGGTACTTGTTACACAATAGTTGTATATTTTTTTGGAAAGTATATACCTACATATTTAAAAATAGCCTACTAGATAACGAACATAGACAATTTTGGTTTTGTTTGACAGCAATAAAAAAAATGCGACTATGGTTAAGTACCTACATTAGAAGCGTCTATGCATTTTCGTGCAAGTTTGCACGCGAATAATTGTAGATTTCATCTCTATATATCCTAGTCCGACATTTTTATAAACATGTAAGTAATCCAGGGGCGAAAATTGACATGTTTTTAGCTGCATTCACATGAAAATAATGCTGAAATTCAGTCCGCCTTTGTTACCCTACTATGTATACTTTCGTATGTAAACACGAGCATAATTTAACGAAAACTGCTTTTATAACGCAACAAAACTGCAACCGACATAACTGCAAGTCCTATTGACGCTAATAACTACAAAATAAAAGTAAAAACTTACGCAATTTGTTCGTTTTCATAAATGTTATTCATTTAAATCGGAGTCACTGACGTTAAATATAGAACCAAATCGTAGTCGAAAATAGATAAAGTTAAACACCATACACACTGCTTGTAATAAATTCACATTAATATCGGAATGTAAAACAAAACAAGATATATTTAACAAAACGCACCGCACGGAAATTCAGAGGGAAACAGCGAAAATTGACGATTTTCCTTTCAGTTTTTCGATCACCATCGTACACTGCAGTTTAAACGTCCACTAATACATTGTCCACGGGATATTATTTAACACAATCGTTCGTTGAAATGAGGCACTCATGCCCAAATACACGACGTCCGTATATTTTCACAAATTCACCTCGTTTTTACGGTATCACAAAATAAAATGATGTGTGAATGACATGAAATTTTGACATGCGCACTCCATTGTGCTTAGCTAGCGACATCTGTCCTCAGACAACATTTTAATCATCAGTGCAAATTGTGGAGAAACCGCCGCTATTCGATAATAGAGGTCGCTTGTAGTTAGTACTTTCAACACTAGATGACGCTACTTATCACACAATAATATCAAGTCTGTATGGTATCTAATTTGAATTTCAAATCGACCACTCTCCAGTCACATCAATTAATTAACAATTACAACTGCTATAAGAACAGTTCAATGTCAATCTCCCAGTTACATCACATCGCATCAATTAGTATAATTATTCTAGTAACAAATTAACATTTACAAAAGTATTAAAAATACTATTATTAATTCTTTAATCTGTCTATTTCAAGTTTTGGACACATAAAATTATTTTAAGAGGTATACCTACTTAATAGGATACATTTCGTTGTTTCGTGTTAGATAAGCGTGTAACAAAATATTTGTGTGTCAAAGCGGCCTCATGTATCGTCATGGCAAATCAAAGACACACATTTTGTCCCAAAATACGAATGACCAAAGAACGCGTGGTCGGATACAAAGAGGCATTAAATGTAGATGTGGCATTATATACAGCATTAATTCACGTGTTATTTTATTGGACGTAGATAAATTTAAAACCTTATAAAAGCCTTACATAAATTAATATTTTTATTTAATTAAAGAAATCCCGCCTAAATTTTTTAGTCTGTACCTTGTATATAAAAAAAATAACAACTCTATGGAAGGCATTGGCGATGGGACATTTTCAAATTTTGTTTTTGGAATTAACCTTTTCAAAATCGCTTTTTTATTTCAAATCATTTGTTGAATCCAAAATTAGAATACCAATATTTTTATGAGGTAATTTTATTTAAATTATATACCTACTAACGGCTGGATTTTCAATAGTCAAATAAATGTTATCTGAGGAATAAAATTGTTGCTGTTACTGTCTTATACAAACATTCTGACGCGACAGCATCATAATTATTCCCGTACCTAACTTTTATGTAACCATTGAAAAATCAGAGGCAAATAAAACAAAAAACATTACCTATAATACACATTTAAAATCATAAAGTTATTTATAGTTTTTTAAATAATATTTTAGTGTAGGTAGGTACTTATTAATAAATATGTAGGTATTATTTTTTTAAGAAATATTACGTAAAATAGGTACTGAATAGCTATTACACGGAGCTAATTAGTTTTTATAAGTAGGTATGTAAGTAGCATATCTACGATATTTCTTCATCCATGCGTTCAGGCCTGATCTAAGTCGTTAGTTCTTAGAAGCCTTCCAGGTAGACTGACGTCATACATACATAGGTACATCCACTAAACATACAAACACGGCTAGCTTGAAGAATGCAGTATTATTAACTGTATATTTTATAAGGATTGGCACTTTATAACTAGTTATTCAGAATGACCTCAGATTTGATTTGGCAGACGAGTAGTTGGATTACCTGATGGTAAGCAATCTGTGTCGTCCATGGACACCCGTAACAATAGAAGAGTTATGAGTGCGTTGCCGTTATTTTGGGGATTAGGGTTTCGGAGATTTAGGGATTGGGGGAGGGGAAGAAAGATTGGGCCTTCGGTAACCTCACTCACACAGCGAAAGATAAAGGTTTTGGTTGTTTCACGCCGGTTTTCTGTGACGCCTTGGTTTCACTCCTGTCGAGCCGTTCTGTACGTGCCCAAGCATGGCTCTTTGCCATTTTTGATGAGTTTTTATCAATAACTATTTCCGCCCGCGGCTCCGTCCTCATGGTATGTTGATAAAATATAGATAGGTAGCCTATGTTCTAGTCCGGAGTGTATCCTATGCCTGTGCCAAATTTCATCCAGATCCATCCAACCGTTTTGGCGTGATTGAGTAACAAACATCCAAACATCGTAACTTTCGCATTTATAATATAAGTAAGGTAAAGAAAACATAATATTTTCAAGCATTTCTTTGTCCTGATATTTCTGATCTTCAATAGTGGTAAGTCGAGACACAATAGAACAACATAAAGCACGAACGCCGGCGTTCGCTTGGGGTCTTCAATGAAAAAGTTAGCTCACAACTGCTCTATCAATTACTGTCTTGATGTACCTAAATTATCAAGATTTCTATCTGTAAGTAGGTGCACAATCTCGGATCTGTTTAGTATTCTGCTGATGCCAGGACGCGAGGTTTGAAGTTATAGTGTAACAGCTGACACGGGCAATGTTATATGCATGAGATGTCCCGGATCTTGTAGGCTAGGAGCCAGACTACACTTGTTGTACATCATCTTATTATTATATACTTGCTACTCTCGCGCGGTTTCACCCGCTACTCGGCTCCATTTAGTCTAAGCGTGATGTTTTATACCCTATAGCAATCAGGAACATTGTAGCTATCTATCAGTGAAAGAATTTTAGAAATCGGACTAGCGGTTCTAATGATTAGCCCCTACATACAAACTGACAAACATACAAATTACAAATTTTACCTCTTTATAATATTATTAGTATTATTAGATTAAATCACTACATAGTATAAAGCAAAGTGGCTTTCTCTGTCCCTATATGTTTAAATGTTTAAAACCACGTAGTGATTGAAGAGGTAGATTTGTATGTATAATAACATCCATTAAATAGTGGAGATATTAAGTTTTATCACTAGTTATTTATAAATCCTTCAATAAATTTTTGTAGGTTAAAAGTTGGGGTGGTCACAGAGTACAAAATGGGATAACCATGCTTCGGACCGGATACCACGACTTCACAGAAATCTGGCGTGAAATAATGCAAGCAGTGTTTCGTCGTGTGAGTGAGGCCACCACAGGCTTAATATTTGTAACCTTTCCCATCCCCAAAAGACCACTAAGCGTTTTTTTGCGTTTGCTAATATATGCAGGAATCGAACCCGCGACAAGTTGCACGGTAGCTAATTTCCCAGCCACTGCGCCAACCGTGTCGTCAATTGCTAACTATCAGGATACAGGGTGTGAGAAGCCATTGCATGATTTTACCCCCTCCAAAAAAGCGTATGAACGCTGTTAAAGGTTGATGATGATGATGATGATGATGATGATGACATTTGTAAACTTGCTCGTTGCTATTAATAAGCCATATAAATCAATCAAAAACACATAATGTAACAAAAAACCCACCTGGCTCCTATACTAATTGATCACAACGGTGTTTCGCGTGGTTATAAAAACCTGCGCCCACGCAAGCCGCCGTTATGACGTCACAGCCTTGCACGATACACTCTTAACGGATTATAATTGTGTAACTGCCTCGATGGTCACGATATACTTTGTTTAAAGTGATAGATTTGAAACTGTAAGTGTTGGAGAGCCAAGCTTTGGAACAAATGGGTCGGCGCGACTGGAGTGATACTACGGCCTTACAGAAAACTGGTGTGAAACAACCACAGCGTTGTGTTTCGCCTTGTGAGTGAGGTTATCGGAGGCCCAATCCTTCCCCTTGCCAATAACTCCCCTTTTCCATAATCTCCAAATCCCTGATCCGATAAGCCCCGGCTGAACATCAGCCCTATAGGGCCCCATCTGTGGTGGTCTATTGGCTCTTTGAGGCGCGCGCCGTACGCTTGTAATGTTTATATTATCTGCTCTCTCGCGTTTTCACCCGCTGGTCGGCTCAGAACAGCTGTAGCGTGATGTTTTATAGCCGATAGCCTTCCTCGATAAATTGACTAAGAATCACAAAAAGAATTGTTAAATTCGTACCAGTACTTACGGAGATTTGAGCGTTCAAACAAATAAATTCTACAGCTTTATGTGAAAATGCAACATATTTCTGTATTAGATTTGACATAGTTGGGTGCTTGCGTCATATGCCGTGTCATAAGTGTGGGGGAGTCGTGCTTCGGACCGAATGGGTCGGCTCGACCGGAGTGATGATCTCACAGAAAACCGACGTGAAACAATCACAGCCTGGGGTTTCGCCATGTAAGTGAAGTTATCGAAGGCCTGATCCTTCCACTTCCACAATCCCTCCCCAATCAGACGGATTACCTGATGGTAAGCAATTGGTATCTTCCATAGAACATCGATGAGTGGCAAATGTCTTTTGCGGGTTAAGGATATGACAAAATTTAATTTGAAATAAGTACCTTTTTAAGGAATCTTCTTAATATCTTAATCTATTTTTTATAACCTGTGACTTTTAAACGTCATCAGTTCAGTTATGTGAATAGTGGATGTTTTTTTTTTTAATCTTTATTGATAAAGGGCTTTAATCGCAAAGCGATGATGCCAGCCCCATAGAAAAAGTAATAATAATAATAACAAAAATGATTAATAACTAAGATCTTAACTTAATTAATTTAACAATTAGACGACAACATGTTATAACAATAGTGGATGTTTCATACTAGGTAACATGAAATTTTGGTAAGTAATCAACATTAGGTACGCATGTACTCAAAATAAATCAATTTAATATGTCTCAAGAAAGTTCTAACACAAGTTATATGTATTAGTTCAATCCCTGCTTACCCTGTTTCATTATTAAAAGTTATATTCTATTTTCGGCATGAAAATGGCGGAATCTTGTAGTTTTATTTTACGTTTGGCCATTAAGATGCCTGAGCTTAAATGTGAAAGAAAAAAAAACCGGTTAGGAACATCTGCTTAGAATTTTTATAAGGTTCCGTACGTAAAATAAATTTATATATTATCTATACTAATATTATAAAGAGGTAATATTTGTAAGTTTGTATGTAGGCGGTAATCTTTGGAACTGCTGGTCGGATTGCCAACATTCTTTCACTACAATAGATAGCTATAATGTTCCTGAGTTCTATTATGCTATAGGTTATAAAAACCAAGCTAGGATTAAATGGAGCCGAACAGCGAGTGAGGCCCCGTGCGAGAGTAGCTAGTACTTTATATAGTACTAGCTGACACGGCAAACGTTGTTTTGCCATATTAAAAATTTAGAGGCGGACTACCCCTAACATTTAGGGGGATGATAAATAGATGTTTGCCGATACTCATAGAT